AATCGGATATATTTCATCCTCCTTCCCACCAACTCAAACTCCACCCTCACTGGCAAACTTTTCTTCCTGTTTTATTATGTTAGTAAGTGATCCTTCTAAAATACCGCTACCTTAGTCTTACTAAAGCATTAGCAACTGGGGGGATAAAAACACACAGAAAGAAAATTAACTTTATAAGGCAGCTGGCCAAAGATATTATCTCAATATTTAGGAATCTCACACTCCAGGTCAAATTTCTTAACTTTAGATGCATACAACTATGTTGGAAAAAAAATCAGAAATGAATTTTGAAGGTAATGAAAATACAAGTATAAAAAATTATTTCAAAGACATTTTCGAGAGAAGAGGCTCCTAAGGAGACTGATGAAAAATACATTACAACTGTTAAAATGTGGATTGGCACAAAAAAGAAGGGAAAGTTTTGAAAGACAATCAAGAGTCAGTAAAATAAATCCCACAATCCATAAAAGCTAACCCAAAGTGGAGCTATTTTTGTGCAAGTGCAGTCAAGCAGCAGCTAGCGCCCATCTCCAAGCATTTCTTTCCCAGCTCTAGGAATACTGAATTCCCTTGCAGAAAAAGTGAGGTGTCGTGATTAAGGAGCATGCGCCCTGCAGCCAGACTGCCCGGGCCTTCCTGGCTTTGCCACTCACGGACAGCGTCACCTTGGGTGTGTAACTTAACCTCTCCATGCCTCATCTGGAAAATACAGATAATAAAAACACCCACCTCACAGAGTGCTGTGGTGAGGATAAATCAAGTCCTGTAAAGTGTTTAGACAGTGCCTGCCATAAAGTAAGTGCCACGACATGCTGGTTAAGGCTAAACTTTCGTTCCAAAGTCCTGACAGTGTTGCAAATCCAACTTCTGCCTGTTGGCAAGCGCCACCCAACTGACCTGCTTTCCTCGTGTCCCTCCCATCTTTGTCCTCAGTGGCTCCCCACCGTCTGCCACATGCAGCCAGAGCTTCCAGTGATTACCCTTTCCAATGTGAATTTCTATCCCCACTCCCAAAAACAGTTGAAACAGACTGATCTAGACAATGACCCCTAGACGAAGTCATGGTGACTCCCACTCCCACATTCCCTCGAACTGAATCCAAACTACCATCACCAAAGTCTTTTACGGATCAGCTTGAGCCCCTCGCTCTAAGAATCGTCTCAGGGATTTCACTCTTCATTTCTCTCTGGCTGCCCGCCTTGTAGGACTCGTCGGCGCTTACGGGAATAAGTGATTAGCTCTGGGCGTATCTTCGCTCTCCCAGAAACTATTAGGTGTCTTGGGACACAGGTGATGTACTATGTACTCCTTTCAGTCTTTCTCAATGATAAGCCACCATTAGGGACTCAAATGAAATTCTCTGAATCATGAAGAAACGTAACCTCACCTGAACCGTTACGACCGCTGCCCCTTGGCACTTCTTACCACCGCTGCCTCTGCACTCCAAGTGGAGTGTGGCCTGCTCTTCTCGATTAACGTACTGTTTGGGCATCGTGTCCAGCAGCTCACTATCCAGGGCAACCTGCTGAGATTCCCGAAGAGCTGCAGTTCTGGAAAACATCATTAGGAAGTGTCAAAAAAAAAGTTTTAGGAAAGGTTTCATGGTAAGCGATAAAGACGTCCAGTTCTCCCCAGTCTGCACTGGAGACCAGTAAGACACAAGGATCCCACAGTAACGGAAGACCAGAGGTGTGTGTGCCAGGACTTACCCAAACCCCCTCGCCGGCAGTCACGCCAACCAGCAAGTTAAGAAAGGAAGGAAAACAGGACAACTTTTTAGCCAGAAACAAAGCTTCATCTAGAATCTGTGTTATATCAAAACTGTTTTTAAACGGACCCTTGAATACATAAAAACAAATGAGCGTCCCAACACGATTCAATCATCCTAAAGGGCCATCCTGTTTGTAAGCACTGGTGGCTTCTTAGGTATTAGCCACTCAAACTGAGATGTGGAGACGGAGAAGGCTAACTGTTCACATGGGTGTCAACGCCGTTCTAACCTTAAGTATCATTATGTTAATGTGCAGGCGGCCCGTTAAGATTAAGATATATGACTAGACCAAAAACCACCATGGAGAAAAGGGCCAAAAAGAGATTGATGCCCGTGGGTTTTGCAAAGATAAACTCTTTTACTTTATAAAACAGACTCACTCCACACACTCCTTTTCACAGGATCACCAGCTGGAGTCAAAACCTTAAACAGTTGATCATTCCATATCCACCGTGAACTCAGAACACTAAATGACTTTCCCATACTTTGATCAAGTATCTCTGTCAATTCTTAAAAGAATATGGACAGTTAGAGAGCAAAGAAGTGACCAAAGAGAGTAAATCTCATTTCATTCCCTTTTGACACCATCTTCCAGTATCAGAAGGTTTCCTCAGGAGAAGCATAAGAAAAAACACAGCTGGCACTGCTGACCCTCAGAAATGCCACCACAAGATACATGTACAATGTATATAGTCCATGAAAACACTACAGAATTTCAGTGTGAAATTAAAAGACTTGTCACAGCTGGGTTAACTAAGGTGACTGTGTGAGCCAGTCCAGTCAAATTACTCTTATGGTTAAGAAGGCTGATGACAAAGCCCTTCTGGGTGCTACTCATCCAGGCCATCAAAGCACGAGGCTGGCGGTCTCGGTCTTACCTGGCCTGCTGCTGCAACACACTCAGGTCTGCGCGTGCCATCTGGGTGGTGTCCTTCTGACTCAGGAGCACGGCTGAGGAAATAACTGGGACAGGGGGCCTCACTGGGTGCAGAACTAGGGGAGGCTGGGGGTCCTCATGCTTCCGCAGGTTACTTAAAACTCTTTCTTTAGCTGAAAAACAATGAAGTCATATTTCTGAATAATAGCTACTAGCAGGTCATAACGTACTGCATAACTAGTCTATTAGCTTCCTAAAGAATGCTAAAGATCTGAAGAACAGTTATTTAAATCACCAGAGCCCTAAATGAATAAAACCATCATCTTTCGTTACTTGAGAGTTTTGAGGGATCCCCCACAGGCCTAATAATATTCTACCAGGAGCTGAGAGCTCAGAAGCATGTGTTATGATTAAATAAAATTCTGAGCCTCAAAAATTCTTAATGATAGTTAAAGAGCTACAGCTCGTGATTTTAAATTACCACCCTAGACAGTTTTGCATGACATGTTAGGTGTTTGGACTTGACACTGGTGTAAAAGGGATCCAGTGAATGAGTCTAAGCCAAGTTTCAGAAAGATGGTAGCTGTCATCCGGACAATGGACTAGGGGAAGGGGGCGGGGAGCCCAGTTAAGCATTTAATGCAATCATCCAGATAAATTTCATAGGAATAGGAGAAAGAGGAATGGGCATTATGGGATAAAGCTGAGTGAAAAATCTTACATTGGGCCAAGGTTCATACAGGAGGCCTGAGAACAGTAGAATTAAAATGAACAAAGACATGAGCATAAACTCCTACAGATCTTTTATTTCTGCAGTCATAGTCATTTATTCGTCCATTCATTCATTTATGCATTCACTCAAAAAATGGTTTATGAGTCCAAATAAGAAATTAGCCACCATATAAGAAAAATAAAGGTAAATAAATGTCCATCTGTACCATGCAACTTTGCACTGGATCGCACATGGTCTCATACTGGTCAACCCAACTTAAACGTTTATATTTCTGTGCTTAGTTCTAGGCACACAGTAGGTGTCCAGTGAATTTCTATCTTCCCTTCCTTTCTCTTCACTGCACTATTCACCTACCGCACAGCTGGCAGTGACCGAGGAACGGGAAGAAAAATGCTGCCATATAAGATAACAAAGGTCAGGAGAGGTCCAAGGAACTTCAAGTCAATTAATCAACAAAGTACTTAAGGGACCACTATGAATTTCCGATCTCATTCCAGATATAGCGTTCAATTTTCTATTCTTGTTTAGAAAAATTAAAGAAAATTTAATAGCCATGACTTTACTTGGCATAAGAAATCTTGTATTGTTTGTAACCCAAACAGATGGAATTTAACATTCCAAACAGGTCAAGTTCAAGACCATCCCTTATAGCTGGGGTTTTTCCACTAGAACTGCCACTCTGCACAGAATTCAATAAAGCTGGATATTCACTACTGGGTAAGGCTTCTGACTACGTTCAAGTTTCTTTCAAGCAATGTTAGGTCATGATTCTAAGGCAAAAAAGGAGGCTCTTTTTCCAATAAAATATAGCTTATCATTAAAAAAAATCAATGGTGATTCTTTAAATACAAAATAAAAGACAGAAAAAACTTAATTCAGAGCACTGACAACTATAATCACAACTCTGGACCACAACTGACAAAAAAATTATGAAGTCAGCCAATAAATTTAAAACAAGAAACTGGTGTCATAAGCATGCAATCATCTGTGAAGTGCTCCTGAAAAGTTTCCCACAATCACAATTACAAGTTCAATTGTTTCATATAACCATCATCTAACCTGCTATATCATCTGAGAAAAAATGAAACTTATTATTTAAAAATCTAGGCCTTAATTTTACTTAGAACTGCATGCAACCTGTACTGATGGCCAAAAACAAGACACGTGGTGAAGAGCAGGGTCCCTTCCCAGCTTTGTGACTCGGGCAGGTGACCTCACCACCTTACCCGTCAGGGTCCTTACCTGCTCAGAGGGGATAACTCTCACAGGGTTGTCGGGAGGACTGAGTTAATGCTAAGACAGTGCTGGGAATAAACTAAGGGCTTAATAAATTACTAGCTTAACTCCAGAGAAAAACAGTCTTTCAGGGCCATGTTAGGAAATGTGAAAGCACCAGAGATGCTAAGACACAACCAGAGACACACTCAACAGCTTACAGATCTGTAAACACAGCTCTTCCTCTTATTTAACAAACTTTCAGGAATAAAAAAATGAGAATTGATATGGTTGGGTTGAGGGCAACTTTTATACTTTCCCCTACATTTTTTGCTATATTGCTTAATTTTTTTTTCAATGCACTCATATAACTTTTATAATAAGAAAAAAAAACCTATTATTATTTCAGGGAAAAAAGGAGGGGAAAAGATGTTGGAGGAAAAAAAAATTAAGAGTCTTAGATAACACTGTCCATCTGATACTCAGCACCTTTGATATTGAGTAGGACCATGCACCCCTGCCCCCTCCAACCCCTGCTTCTTGTTTATCAAAAAGCTGAGGTCTCCCAGGCCTTCCTGAGTCATAAAAGAGCAGGCTCAAGTAGCTGATGGTTAGGACAACAGTCACAGACTCACTGTCTGATGCACAATCCTGAGCTGTTTTACAGATACTGTAACTTACTGTAACTGCCACCAGAAGGGAGAAGCTACCTGCATGATGACCAGGTCTCTTCCCCAGCCTCCCCTTCAGTAATCTTGTGAACTGTGACCAAGGCTGTTGCCCACAGGGTCATACCCCTACCCTCCTCTCCTCAAGCAGAAACCAAGTACTCTTACCTAAGTCTCAGGAGGCAGCCTCGAAGAGAAGAAACAAGAACTGGTTAGAAATAGTGAGGTCCAAGATGGCAGAGGATTTGACTGCCAGGGGCCCTCGCCCCTCGTTACAGGCTCACTATAGTGTGTTAGCATGCTAAATGACACTCACCAGCGCCATGACCGCTGACGATTGCCAGGACAACAAGAGGAAAAGCCCACTCAAGGACAGGAAAGAAAGGTGACTGGTTCCAGCACACCCGGAAGGAGGACACGATGGCAGAACCTTCCAATAGAAATCCACATGGTCCAGCCCACAGCTGGAGCTGTCTCCACCGGCCACCTTGGCTGACGGCTCCCTGCGCAAGTGCATCTCTTTCCTTTTCCCTTCCCTTGAGCAATAAAGCAACTTTTCACTTTGTCCCTCTGCCTCTGCTTGCAAATTCTTTCACAGCCAGCAGCTAGGACCCACATTTTGGTGGGCTTCCTAATTCAGGGGTCTCACTACCCCGCTAACACCTTCATTTACAGATGAGTGAATTAAAGCCAAGAGAGGTTCTTACTTTTCTCTGATCACACAGCTAACCAGTTGGTTAGTGGCAGAGCCGGAACAAGAATATATTTTGGCCTTTCTCTGAATCATCTCAGTGCTCTATTACACTACATATTACAATATTTTGTTCAACAATTATATGTACAATTTTCTTATATGCCCTACATTTTTAAAACATATTCAGTAATTTATTTCTTTTCTAGGAAGAATTTTTTTTAAGTTTTTGCATTTTTTAATGATTTCTTTGTGGGGGGGGGTTTAGGTTTATTTATTTATTTAATTTATTTTTTTAATTTTTAATGGAGGTACTGGGAATTGAACCCAGGACCTCATGCATGCTAAGCACACACTCTACCACTGAGTTATAACCTCCCCTCCATATTCAGTAATTTAAATTAGTAAGTGATCCCAAATATTATTTTCTATTATTTTTTGTCATAACATATGTCATCAGCTTTGCAGGTTAAATGAGCTTTGGTGGCCTGGCATAGAAAACCAACTGACAATTTATAAAATTGTTTCTCTAGGAAAACTCACTGTGAGAAGCAACCAACTTAGAAATTTTGATCCATTTGTATGGTAAGACTTTCAGATACAGAGGAAAAGAGCTCATGAAAGAAAAAGACTTCTGAATTTTAAAACTACGAACCGAAAATAACTAAATTCTAAGTTGTACTTTACATATTGTAAGTCAATTTAAATGTCTTTTTAAAGCATCACGGAGAAAACAAACTACCAAATACGTAATCACTTTCCCAATACCAACTTACAGCAAAATACAGGGGACAGAAAAACACATGAAACTGTACCACCAGGATATAATCAGCAAGATCCAGACCGCGGGGAAACCCTAGGGACCGCAGATGGAGCCATGTCTCAGTGTGGGCCAAGGAGATGTAACCAGAAGGTCTATGAGCAGCTTCTTGAAAGAGTTCTTAAAAGAGGGAGGCCCCTTCCTGCTGAATGGAATGCAAATGCAACAGCTTAAGCTTAAGCAGCTGTCTTGAGCCTTAAGTGGATGTCACACACGAGGAAGGTAGGGCAGCAAGACAGCAGGAGCAGGGGTCCTTGGAAGGCTTTCAGGTTATGAAGCTACTGCTCTGAACCGCCTGCCTCCACACTCCTTTACATGAAAAAGTAAAACAAATCTCTATCATATTTAAGCCCTAAATGTTTTTGGAGTTTCTCTCATTCACAGCATAATCTAACCCTAAGTGACAGACAAGTTAACAACGAAGTCCTAAAAAAGCAATTCTCACCGAGGGATACACAGTGTGAATTTTAACCTTTAATGGCTCTGATTCATTCACTCATTCATTCATTCACTCATTCATTCATTCAAAGGGTCTGTTGTTCACTCATGTAACTCACCCAACAACGGATCAGTGAAGTCCAGCTGCACTGACAGACTGCAGGGTGTGGAATGGGACTCCAGCTTGGCCTGCATCCACAGACCAATGGTTTCCTGAAACTCGTAATGTATGCGCTCCATGTTCAAATACTCCATCCACAGGTCCTAGAACGGAACCACAGGACTTTAACTTTCAGAGATGAATCATATATTCACATATAAAACTGTATTACTGTAAAGTGAACCAGTAAGTTTCAACATGAGATGGTCCATTCCAAGTTCTCCAAGCATTAGGATGGATCACATTTAAAATGGGCACCCTAACAATCGTAGGAACCTTAAGACTTTTTGATTGTGTATCACATTTGGAAAAAATACACACAC